ATAATATGTATATAAAATATATATAATATTTATATCTATGCCTATATTTATACATATACACATAAACATAAGTATATAATATATAACGTGAAGGTGGGGCAATTTGCGCAACAAAAAGTTGTGGACCACAACGTCCTACCATCACATCGATCCTCGTCACTTCCGTCCGAGCAGTCGGCCTGTCCGTCACACTTCCAGCGGAGGTCGATGCAGGTTCCATCCGAGCAGCGGAACTTGTCAGAGGTACAAGTGGACATGTCTGCGCACGAAACAATGAATAAATGAAAAATAAATAAATGAATAAATAGATAAAGAGAGAAAGAAAAAATAGGTAAATAGGTAAATAGATAAATAGGTAAGTAGAAATGAATAGGTAAGTGAATACATGAATGCATGTATAAATAAATGTCAGTTGTTCTCAGACAGCAAATTTCTCTCACATTTCATATTATAATGAAATGTTATTAATTTTGTTGGGTCCGGCACTCCCAAGCTAGGAGATCCTAAGTTGATAAAAACAGCTCTGAAGATTTAATTTCTACCCCCCCCCCCCCAATAAAAAACAAAAACAAAACAACAACAAAAAGCAAACAAACAAAACACAACAAAACAAAAAAGGGAGAGAAATGAAGTGAGAGAAATTATTGGCACTGAGTCCTGCCTGCACCTCAAAGAAAAACAGAGAATAGTATGGTTTGACCATCTGCAGGTTGCGAATGTCACCTGGCCAGCCAGCCCGAGAACGCGTAACAGCAAGTACTCTGGCTATAAAGGAAGAGGGAGACCACGCAAAAGATGGATTGAGGGAGTCAAGGAAACCTTGAGATATTATGATATCCCAATTGAAAGAGATGCAGAGCTGACCTACTATAGAAAACTGTATATCCTCTCAGCGTTTAACGGCAACAGAGGACGAAAAAGTAAAAGTAAAGTATAAACTTTGCCTCCCATTTCAGTGTGTCAATGTGGAATTAAAACACTTGAAACTGAATATTTGAATTCAAATCCCTTTTGTGCCATGACGCGGTGTAATCAGGTGTTCGTCAATTATTTTTGAGCATGTCGAGTTATTGACATTGCCTAAAGGCATGTACATTCGCCTTACTTTCGGTGAAAGAAATATCTATTTATCTTGAATATAAGTCGAGATGTTTGCTATTGGAGGTGGTTGGGGTCGTTTGGTTTCAGAGGAAAAACTAGCGAGAAATGGCCTTCAAATAAAGTTATTTATATAGTCTGAGAGTCCATGGAAACTGACAACATTTTTTTGTGCTTTTAATCAAGGTTTTCAGTAAAATCCACCCAGAGCTGGGATTTTTTAATGGACATGAAAGATGCTGAGCCAAAAAAGAAAACAAAACAACGACCAAAAAACCCCCCAACAACAACCAAAAACAAAACGAAACAAACAAACAAATTAAAAAAAAAAAAACAACCTTTCATAAAGAATACAAAACCGGCGGAAAAAATGCCAGCTTCTTCAAATTTCATTATTTTAACGAGCACCTGATTTCATCCCGCTGCCTCACGTTCCAGTTAAGTCCCCCGTGCCACTGTCAATGTAGAATAAAACGTCCTAAGTAAACGTGAGTCCTTCCTCCCAAACTGTCTTGACCTAGTACGCAAGCACAGAAAGGGTCTCCACTCTCGGTGGGGCAAACTGTGGGTCTGCGTGACGCCAAGCCCGAGAGACACTTTGAATGTACTTG